TTGAATATTAAGAATAGAATTAAAATTTAATATATTCATAATTAACAAATTAATTGTATTTTTATCAGTAATTATAATTCAACTTTTAATTATATATTTATTAATATGAAGTATTATAGAATTTTTATTTTATAATATCAGTAATGAATTTATGGTTAGTAATGAATAGAATTCAAATGTTTGATGTTACAATGTGTTTTTGAATTAAAATTTTAATATTATTTTAATATTATTTTAATATATTTCTTTCAAAATATTTTTATTAATGCAGTTCTTTTCAGTAAAACTTAATAGGAACTACATTAATTGATTGCTTTCGATTGTCTATTATAAATGTTATAATTATCTCATTAAAGTCCAAAATAAGTTGGTAATAAATATATAAGTATTTACTACTTATGTAATTTTTAATTTTTTTTTAAATTTTTTTGTTGCACAAATCCATAGTGAAATTAAATTGAATTTAATATGAAATATTATAATTTTGTTTGAACCATGATTTATCTAGTTATTCTATTCTCTTAATTTTATAGCATCTTTTATATAAATTTTTAATATTCCATCATTTTTTCGTTATTTCGTTTGTTTTATTTATCTATAAATGAGATATCTGTATAAGCAATAGAATATTTTTGCTTACAAATACATGTATAGATGCATACAAATTTTTAGTTATTCTTGTGAAAACAAAACTTTTTAACACAGATGATTAAAGTTGTTTATATAATTTTGTATTCTAGTATATTAATATTAATTGCCTTTTCTTAAATGATAATCGTTAAATATATCATTTATTTACAAGAGACAGATAAAAAGTATTACACTTTACTTATTTTAATTATAACTTTGGTATAATTTTGATTGAAATGTTTTTTTTTAATTTGAAATGTTTTTGATTAACCTGACAATAAAAATATATAACAGATGTTAGTATTCTTTATTTATTAATTATAATAGCCGTATTATCTAGTTTTTTAGAAGTACCTGCAAATATTTTGTATTCTGTTGTCATGACTTAGGAAATATCATAATTTTAAGATTAAACCAATTGAAATATATCAAATTGAAGATATTCATTTGAATATCATATACATCAATATGAATTTACACGTTGACAGTCGAGCGTAATTTTAGTAATAATTGTGTTGATCTATTACAGGTTGTTTTAGCAAGTGGAAGAAATTTTTTAATGTATTTATGATATTTTGATTTTAGTTGTTTTGATTTTAGATATTAAAAATTATTGTTAGATAGATAATATTTTATAATAAACATAAAGAATAATTTACTGAAAAGCATTTCAAAATAAAATTTTTCAAACTAAAAATAATAATTTTTGTACAAAATAAACTTTTAATTATATAATTTTCTTATCAGTGAAAAATATCTCTTATTATTAAGATTCTTTATAATATAAAATATTTAAATTACTGTCAAGCATTAGTATTAAATAATAGTTGTCTTCATTTTAATAATTAAATAATAAAATATTTAGATACACGAATTAAATTTAATATTATACCTAAAAATAATTTATTTATTAAAATTTGTTATTTCATAAGCTTATCGTTGTAGGTATATCATATAGTTTGTGTTACAATTACAATACTTGACGATCTTGAATATGAATAATATTTGTATTTTAATTTTTACTAATACATAAGTATCAAGAAAAAAATTCTCTATTTTGTTGAATTGAACGAATAAAGCTGATCTTTTTAAAATTTTTATTATTTATTCGTTGTATGTACCAAACTATAGAATTTTAACTCTAGTATTGAAAAAACATTGAAATAAAATACTTTGTATAATAAAGTATTTATAATTTCTAAGATATTGTAACGCACTTTTTTTATATAATATATTATTGAATACAATACATTCAATTGGATATAATAAGTTTTTTAATTAGCATTTAAGAACATATTAAAAAATAATACGAATAATAAAAATCACTATTTTTTAAACGAAGAGTTTTATTATCGTATATATTTACATTATCAAATTATATTTAAGAATTTATAGAATTTAATTAAGCAGTCAAAATATAATCAATGAATTCATTAATGTCTGTATACTGAGTAAATATCATAAATATCAAATTTAAATTATGTGTAAATTATTTCTTATATAATTAAAAGAAATTACAGGGACTGTCAATAGCGGACAAAACAAGCTCAGATTTGTTAATACTGTAAATATGCAAGAAAGATTAGTTTATTTATTAATGTGATAATATCATCGATTTGGGCGATTTTTAAGTATATACATAATTAATGGTCTTTTAATATATAATATATTATTTAAAGTTAATCGACAAATGACAAAAGTTGAACACCAGAATGTACTTAATTATTTAATTTATTAATTACTTAATTATTTTTATTAAATAATTCCTTTAATTATGGATGGAAATGAATGCATATTTTGATGATAAATAAGTTAATTTCAAATTAACCTAACGACTTATTTGTGAAGCTTTAATGAAATGTTCGATTAAATTTATATATTCTTAATTATTACAATCCATTTATGGTACGAAGTTTTTTAATTATACAATGAATTTAACTACCTATTAAATCTAAATTGTGTCTATAATAGGAAAAAAAAAAAACTTTTTATTGTTAAATAAAAAATATTTTATACCACTGTGACAACAAAAAATAACTTAAATATTAATTTTTGTAATTACTTACACTACCTCCCCTTTATCACTAGAAATTTTAAAATTATTTATATATGCAGATAGGAGATGAAGAAAGGATTATTCATTTATTTTACAACAAATTCATAAAATACAGTTATTAATAACATGAAAATGTTACATGAAATATTTATTCCTGAGATATTATTATGAAATGTTTATCATAAAATGTAAATTCTAATATTTCCTAGTGTTCGAAATTAGTAATGTAATTCTTGGCTCGAACTGCCAATGCTTCAATAGCTTAGTTTGCCGCCCGCCCTAGCAGACGCTCGAGAAGGAGTGAGATGTTGGGGCTGTACAAGAGACGTGAGAGTTGATTAATTATATATTTATTATACAATTTATTACACAATTTACACATGGGTGTCTTGGAATCTATGGAATGTTTCACTACACAAGATGCTCTTGAGATCGTTAAGTTATGGCGTTGTGCCGATCATTGTCATCGGCGAGCAATAATAGAGTAGGTAGCGCGGATTTGTGTACTCACAGCGATATCGTAGTCTTGATCTGAGCCAGGGGTGAGTGGTTCACCAGGGCACGCGGCAAAGCAAGTGCGTGCGAGATGATCCTTGTACTCACAGGGATACAGCAGTCTTGTTCTGGTCAGTGGATCTCCGGAAGTACTTGGTCACTAGTTTACCAATTCGTACAGGTGCGTAAAGTTCCGTGCAGACCAGGCTTCTCTATGCGGAGAGCCCCTTTCGAATTGACTTTTCTACCTCTTGCCAAACGGCAACATTTGGCATACTTTTCAAATATCTTAAGCTTCAAAATATACTCTAGTAAACGAGCTAGCCGGGTTTTGATGGTAAATAGCAAGGGTCATTTATTGTATTAAAAACAATGACTACATTTGTGGCGCGAAAAATAATAGAAGTGGCTGTTTACGAGTATTTTTCAGATGTACTAACCTTTTCGAGCCTCCAACGACTGTGGGAGGACTTTCTTACATTTTATGTCCGTTCACCATTTCCCTTTATGATAGCCGTTGAAATTTTCCCAATTAATACAATTCGAGAGATTTCTTTGCACTCTCGAACAGCTAGATAATTCTAAATTTTTTTGGATGTTTGTGAAAAATTATTTAAATTATATATATCGAATGTCTTATCATAATTAAATTTGCTTAATAAGATTGTGATAATCTCAAATCTGGTAAAACTATTTTTCCATAATAATTTGTGTAGACCTTCAGAACTATTTTTTCATAATAATTTGTGTAGACTTTCAGAAAGAATTCAGAATATATATTTATTTTATATTTTTCTTTAAATATATTAATAATTATTATCTTCAGCATAATTTATTACTGTCCTTCTATTTGATAATATGTACATTTATTTGCTACAATAATACAAAATTTAACAAATATTTTTATTATTAATTTCAATAATTTTGAATAACTATTAGAAATATGACTAATACGAATTTTAGCATATACAACTGCAGAAAAGTAAACAATAGTATATTTCTTATAATAACGATTGCTTATATGATTTAGAATATCTCACCCATTATATTATCAGATCTAATTAAAAAAAAATTTTACGTAAATTTGACTTAAGTATTAAACAAAATTATTTGTGAATTTGCAATATACATACGTAATGTAATGTATGAAAAAACAACTTGTAATTAACGAACAGTTTTAATTGAAATTTATTTTTTCAATAGATGAAGGAACAATAAATTATTCGAACCCGGTTTAAAGTTCTTAAACATTTCATCTGAAATTATCCATTTAAATAATGTTAGCTATTAAATCGAGTAGAAATGTTATTAATGGCATATTTTTCAATGTGCTTAATATAAGAATGTAAAAAAATGTTTAATATTGGAAATTGTATCAAAGTTGATTTCATTCTTTGCCAAATAATTATGAAAAAAACGTTGGCTCAATACAAAAACTTGCAGGTTTAGTTGATGGGATATTCAATTGAGAGTAATAATTTAATGTTAATATAATTCCTAACAAATTCTATCTTTCATTTATCGTATTAATAATATCATAATTCTTTATATTTAATTATTCAAAATGTTAAGGAAAAAAAAATTATTTACATAACAACCATAAATAAGCAAACATATTTTTTACAATTCATGCCAATATTTCATATATCATTATATTCATTCGTATTACCGAAAATTATTTTCTGTTATATTATATTTTATGCATAAATAATAAAATAATATATTGATATGGGCGAAATAATTATAGGGTATGTCAGTGATTATCTCATAGTTATATTTATGATTAAATTGAGGTATATGACAATTTTATTTTAATATACTAATCGTGGTCCAATCGACGCTTGATACATTCACTTACAGGATTAAAAATTTCCGTCGTAATTTGTTTATTCAATAATGGTCGTATCACTGCTACATATATATCAAAAGGCATACTTTGTATTAGCCATCGGTCATTTCTGCTAACAGCATTAATTTCAGTTATGCGAGTGGAATACTTAGCAATTAAGCAGCCAGTTGGATTAACTTTACAAGCTTCTACTTCATGGTCTAATTTTTCACCTTCTACATTTGCAAGCATAATCTTTAATTCCTAAAATTTAAAATATATTTTATATCGATATTTTCATATTATTATTATATTCAAAGCGCATAAAAGTTTATTATATGATTTTTAATATTAATCTCACTCCCAAAAAGCCATTTGCTTCATTTATCATGTACGTAAATCTTTTATCGGCATCCTTCTCTGAAGAGGCAATTAATTCCGTGTTCAATTTATTAATTGTATTATTAAATAAAGAGACGCAATCATTGATAGTCCTTTTCAAACGTCGGTCGTCAAGTTCTTTCTTAAATAAATATTGAATATAAATATTACATTATAATAGATAATATTTCATTAAGGTCAATGAAAGTTAATTATTAATTATTAATTCATTTTTAATCATATAAACGTATTATTAATCTTATTTATATTATACCAATACAAATTTTGTGTTTGATGCTTACTTGAAGATTAATTACTTGTGTATTACTGAATATTCCAAAGTCCATGGCCTTAATTTTATTATTAACTAATTCACGCGAATCACCTAATTCTTTAATAAGTCTAACGATATCATCATTTGAATCGCTTATTCTAGTTACTATAAGTCGTGGATTACCTTGACCAGCAGAGTACTAATGTGAACAAGTCCCATATTAATTAATTTACACAACCAAATACATTTTCTAGTAATGTTAATAATAATATTATAAATGACTAAATTACTTACTGTCCCTAGATTTACTACGGCATAAATTATGAGTGTCACGAAAAATAATTTCATTATGAATTCGATACAAATGAAATTTTAGATAATATGACAAATACGTAAAAATGTATAGTAGTACTCAATAGTATATTATATCTTGAAAGCACACTAAGCAAACTTAAGCTTCTCAATATCTTATATAATACGATAGAATGATTTTGTAAAATAATTGTTCATTAGCTTCTGAAAATTCTGGTCAGGTTTCTCTACGTAATGTGATAATTATAAGTTTTAAATATTCTTAGTCACGTTGCATTAGTATAATAAGTTCTCACTTGTCTTTATGAATGTATTATTAAAAACATGTATTATTTAATTTATTATGAATTTTTAAAAATATAAAAATTACCAAAAACATTATTTATAACTAACAATAGTTAAACAAAAATTTTAATACTTCCTTTTTTATATTGTACCACGTTTAAGAAATTTTGAATCTTATTATTTAATAGAATGATTATTTTATATTTAATGTTAATTTAATCAATCAAGGTAATAAATGTAAATATATTAATATCTAAAAGAGAAAATTTAATTACATTGTATTCAAGTAGAACAAAATTTTTTATGAATTGGATTTTACTTTTTGGATTAAAGCCACTATTAATAAAATTTAAAATCTTGAAGAAAAAAATCATTTAATCAGCTGAGGGAACAAGTAAAAATGTTGTTATTGTTGTTATTGTAGTTAAGCTTATTCGCTATTTGCATCTTAATTCGAAAATTTTTCTGTTTGAAATGATTTTTATAAGACAATGTACAATTGATGATAACTTTTAGTGACAGCAATACTTTGAAATGGATTTAAAAATTATTTTAGGAAAAGAACCAGAAGACTGCAAATAACCGACGATCAATACTATTCAAGGGCAATAGATACAGTTTCATATATTTTCGAAATTATATACTATTGTTTCCCAAAGTTATGGAAACAAACCAATACGTCATAAAATTATATTGACGTTTAAACAATATTAAAACATAAAGTAACTTTATGATGTATGCTTTAACTCTAGATGTGTTTAATTATAATTTGCCATTTATACCAATATAATTATTAAGTATTAATGTGAATTGCATCAGAAGCTTTGAATTATTAATGGTTCTCTTCAGCTGGAATATTAATTTTTTTATCCTAATAATTATTATGCTTAAAGATAATATAAATAAGTATAATATAATTTATATTGTCGAATAGAAGAGGACTGAAACATATAAAAATTAGATTATGTTTATATGAAATCTCGTAGACTTTGACACTGCTCCCATTTTCCTCCCATGGTAGGTGCAACGGGTGGATTGAATTCCCATTGCGCGTTGTCTTGCGAGAGTATTGTTGCAACTCGATGAAGTCCGTCTGAGCCTTGTGAGAATTTTTTTTCAGCAATTTGTCCGCCCCGACAAATATTGTACCACAATCTCGGCACAATGCTTGGGGGATGCCTTTGCGAGAGAAGAATCTCCGATAAGCCGCGATGAATCTTTCTGTTGTTTAGACCCTGACTACTTTAAGATGAACAGCGGATGGTGTGGCAAAACGTACAAAAATACAAATCCATGCATTTTGGATTTTGCAGCTCTGCCCTTCCAGGTTTTTATAGTTAAAGGGCCAGCATAGTCAACATCAGTGTTTGAGAACGGTCTTGATGGTGTTTCTCGACACAACGGTAATTGGCCCATTATTTCTTTTAGCACGGATTCCCCTCTGTCGTGGATGGAAGAGTGCGATATTTTATTGAAGATCGTCCGCCAAGAATCCAATATTGTTGGTGTATGTATGCCAACGTGATTTGGGTGCTTCCGTGTAATATTTTGAGATGGGCACGAGCTATTATAAGATTTGACAATTGTTATTGTCGTGGCAGAATTACCGGGTGCTTTTGGTCGTATGCCAAGGATGATCTCATATGTCCTTCTTTCAACTCGGATAATTCCTTGGGAGTCAATGTACGCGGTCAGGCGATGGAATACATGAGTATGCGGTAGGCTCGTTTTGTTCTCAAGAATCTTGGGTTCGTGAGAAAAACAGGCAGCTTCAGTTGTTTTTATCGAAAATATCCTTGAATTTTCTAAATCTGTTTCGGTTATCTAGTTGATTGGAGATGATTCATGCTTTCTCTTCAGATTTTTAGATGATATACCAGTGATAGTGAGTTTTGTGGACCGTTGCTGCAAAAGAGATGTCAGGACGGGCTTCTGCTTCACAATTGTTTGTCACTCTGCGACGGCTGTTTTGGCCATGCATCTGGTGAATGCAGCCATGGTGGTCCTGTCCACCATAGTGCATGATCTTGGAGCTGAAGGGTCGACAATCCTCGGAATGTACAGTCTGCAGGATTCGATGTTCCGGGAATAGAATTCCATTGAGCGTCTGAAGTGATCTCTTGAATTTGAGTGATCCGGTTCCTCATATAGTCTTTCTAACGTGATGCGTTAGACTTTATCCATGTTCAGTGTATTCTTGACATACAGCATGAGTTGTGACAGCAGCAAGGCCTCTGCAGCTCCAACCTGGGAATTGTTAGCCGTTTTAATAGGGCTACTATAGTCTTGTAGCATACGAAGACAACTTGGTTCGATGGGTTGTGGAAAACAAGATATATGACTGCTAACATTTCCAATTGAGAGGCATTAGAGAAGCCATGCAATTCCACTGTTGCTGTGCTCTCTAAGTTAAACCATCGAGGTATTTTGATTTTGTTCAACTCTGAAAGATCCTGTCTAATGGTGCACCTCTGGCTTGAAATTTGGTAGTGGATCGTCCCATTTGAGTGTTTATAGCCATAATTCTTGTAGTATCATCTTTGCCATTATCACCAGCGGTGAGACAAAACCTCATGGATCAAATAGTGGATCCGATCAATAGTGGTAATCCGCTATAATTATAAATATAATATAATATAATATATTTATAATATATAAATCGATAATTTTAGGTGTGCAATCATTAAAGGTAATTGTTGATTCATGTTTCGTTTCTGCTTTGATTGCGGTGAAGACATTGTTATGAGTTGAATGTCATTTTGCCAATGGGAAACCGCCTGCCATGCACAGGTTCTGCAGTTATAGCGCGGTTTCAGTTAGATGTTGTGGCGAGTCCGCACCTCCAAAGATGTCATCGACGTATCTCCCATGAGTGATGAATGGTACAGCTAAAAGGGATATACTGCTGTCTGGCCTAGACAATATGCTTGACTTGTTGCGTCAATTGTGTCGACTGTTTCAGGGAATGCACGATGACGAAGAGTTTGTTCGAGAGAGCGTGCTCTATCACCTGTCGACTGTTGTGGGCCTGTGCGAGGTCGAAGCGTTGGTTCGACCGAAGGAATGTGAAATTGCCCGATTTATTCTTGTAGCAGGTGTGCCTAGCTTATTCATTAATATAAAAAAAGGTAAAGAGATAGTGGAAAGCCGGACCTGTAAACATTATGTCTGCCAGACATTGTAGCACAGCGGTGGCTCATCACGCATAGCGACGGCTCATCACGCACATTCAAACAGCGGCGAACCTGCAAACATCGGATATGCCAGATACAGAGGAAAGCAACACATTAAAATAATACGTGGTATTACCTTACGAAACGCTAACCGTTCAATCTCATAGGGGAGATCCGCGACTCCCTCTCCTTCAGTTCATAACTAATAAATAATATACAAAAGAGATCACAATGGATGTCAAGGGCACCAAGACAGCCAAGGCCACTAAATGAATGAGTGCTGGATCTCTTCGCAGCACTACATCCCCACAAGACCAATCGACTGGCAAACTTACACTCTGTTGAACAAACGCTTCGACACCGTACAGGCGCTCACAAGAGTCGACACAATTGACGCAACACGTCAATTACATTGTTGTCACACCTAGACAACAATTTTCATGACAATCAAGTCCTTCAGATCTCGAAGACATGTCACTAATGATTCTTACGTATGACTAGTTTTCAACTGCTCCCATCATAATTAAATCTTAATCGATTACGCACCAATTTCCATCAAAACTTCTTACACTCTATCAAGTATAGTCATTCCTTCTACCAAGCATACTTGATTCAAACATCTCATCTCTGTCATGAGCATGAGCGACTACACAAACTGATATTTACAACATCAGCATAACATCAACTTTCAAAATACACGCGCTATCGGACCGGGACGCGCACTCGGGCGAATGTTTATAAACAAAACTCGGCAAGTTCGAGCAAGTTTTTCGACATGAAATCTAATATACTATAAGATCACACAAAGGTATTACGCCCCACTTTTCTTTCGTCGAATTCTCGAAGGTTCTAGATTTTTTCTTCCACGCCTCGTGTAAGAATTAGTGCAACAACGACAATGCTTTGTTGCCAGCTAAGTGAGCCCCCGCGTGGCTATATAAGGGACGCACGCGGCGCGCCTTGCCCTCTCGCTGAAAATCTCTCTTGCTAAAAGCTCCTTGCTTACTGACCGGCTCTCTTGCCGAACCACCCTCGACCAACTGCGCTTGTAGTTAACATCTTGCCATGACCCGACCGCAGTGACTGACCATAGTGAAACGATCTAACCATCTACCAGTGGAAGCCATGGCACACGGGTCTCGATCTGCCCTCAGCAGGACCACCATGGAACCGTCGGTGTTTTCAGCAGAGCCACCACGGAACGATCAAGCCTTTGGTTCGTGCGCGTATTCAAAAGGCTCATTATAATATCACTTCGCGTACACTCAAGTGTATCTGCCGCTCAGTGTTTCAGTATACTATGAAGACAATACGTGGCCTTATGCTCAGTATTAAAGTTAATAATACACGTGTGCATTAATGAAGTAAAATCGGCAGATTTAGTGCTTACATTACAGTGAAGCCAACTGGAATAGTTATAAAAGGGGACATCAATTACGCTGCAACTAATACACCTTGCCTGCAGATCACAAGGTACACCTTTATATTAATAAATAAACTAGTCACATCTCGCACAAGAATAAAACGGGCAATTTACATTCTGTCGGTCTCTCTCGGTCGAACCAACGCTTCGACCCCGTACAGGCCCACAAGAGTCGAT